AAAAAAAAGTACTATATTTGAAAAAACTAAATGTGGTTACTATTTTGCTAATTTTACTAAATGTTATGTCATATTTATAACTACCCTACAAAATATAAATAAAATTTAATAAAAAAAATATTTTTAGGTTTTTAATAAATTAATTTAAAAAATATAATTGCATAAAAAACTAATTCTTATAAATAAGAACAAATTATACATATTATTTAGGGTAATTGTAGTGGGTAGCAAAAATATTTTATGTATTTCAAAAAATGTCACCAACTTTTCAAATTTTCAAATATAGCAAAATATTTGAATTTTTATTTTTGAAATTTGTATTATTCCAATTTTACCCTTATGATATCTTATATACATCTGATGTATACTTGTATCTAATATACATTCAATTTATATCTGATATACATCCGATGTATATCCGTTACTGATATACATCCAATATATATTTCATATACATCCGATGTATATCTGTATCTGATACATATCCAATATATATCTTATGTACCTCTAATATACTTCCGATATATATCTTATGTACCCCTGAATCTGGTTAATACTAGGATATTCATCAAGATCGTTTAAACCTGTAATTAAGCTAAACTCCCTCAATTCAAATCTTACAAAGTTCCCATTTAGATTGAATATGAGTGCATATTGTGAGCTATTTTCAGATATTCGACGAATTAGATGCACTAAGAACTATAGTGGGTATCTCCTAATATTAGATAGAAGTGTCAAAATTATCAACTTTTAAAGAATTCTATTTGAATTGATGTTAGCATATTGAGAATGTTATCTATTGATTCTTATTTTGAATATTGTTGCATTTTTGCAACAAAAAACCATATTTCATTATCCTCTTAAAGTAAAATTATTATTATATCATATGTAAATCAGACTATCACATCAGTAGTATATCAAACACTCATATCAGTAGTATATCAGACATATATGAGATTATGACATCAATACTATATCTGACACTTATATTAGTAGTATATCAAACACAAGCAGTATATGAGACACTCATATAAATAGCATATCTGATATACATATCAGATATATCACACTCATATTAGTAGTATATCACCTTTATATCAGACATACATATTGATATGAAACACTCATATCAGGTGTTTATCAGATTATCATATCAGTAATATATCAAACATTAATATCAACAGTACATCAGACACTCATAAAACTATTATATCAGACACTACTCATATCAGTAGTATATCAAACACTAATATCAACAGTATATCAGACGCTCATATAAATAGTATATCACATGTATATCAAATATACATATATCATTAGTATATCACATTTATATGAGACATACATATTGATATGAAATACTCATATCAGATGGTCTATTTAGAAATCATAATTATGTAAAAAGATGGAAAAGTATAGAATTTACACTTTTGTCATGAAACAATCCCTAATTAAATGGTACCGATCACATAAATTACTAGCATATCCTTAGGATCTATCTCAATATTAAATAATTATTAAAATCTAGAATTGGTAAATTGGGAGGTTAAATCCGTTAAAATGTGCTAATGATACAATCCAAAATATAAAAAAAATCTCAAAATCCCAAAAAACCATCCAACGCACCCCTTTCTTCTTCCTCGTTTTTCTTTTCTTCCTCTGACCATCGATTTTCTTCCTCTGACCCTCCGTTCCTCTTCTCCGACTGTCTGTCGCTATCTGCCTTCCTCTCCGACCGGCGGTTTTCTCTGTCGCAAGAGCATTTCGTCTGCGTTAATTCCATTCGAAAGGAGATTTCCCTCGGTTCTTCTTCTCCCGTCGTTTCTGCCTGCCTTCGTCTCCGGCCACCTCTATTTTTCTCAATCGCCAAAGCAGTTCATCTCCAGATTGAAAGGTTTGCATTCCAACGGATGTTTTCAATTTCTGATTTCGTGTGAAATATTGTATATGTGAGGATATATATTATAGTGATTTTATTGGGATATATCTTATAACTCAACTTGTATATATGTAGATATATACTGATAGTGATTTACAACTATTATTCTGGTGGATATATACTGGCTACAATATTATTCTGGTTATATAGTATAGTGATTTTGAATGTATATATGCGGATATATAAGTAGATATATACTGTGATTTTGAATATGCGGATATATGTTTATTGAGACTTCAAAAGATGTTTATGCACTAGTGTGGGTGTGAATTAAGGGAAAATCAATGAGCATGTTAAGGTATTGAAGGAGTGAATTAAGGGATTTGTGTTGAAAATTAGTATGGGATCCACAATAATTAAAAGATTATGATAATAATTTATGGAATTAAAACTTTTATATTTAAAAAAAACCAAATAACTATAATAAATGTAAATGCTAAAATCAGAATTAAAATAAAATCCTACATGCATAAATCTAAAAGTATAAAATTAGAAAATTTTAGACATTTGTGTAAATAAGTTTCTAAAACAGCCGTTCGTAGACATTATCCGTTCTTTAAAAAGTGCTATATTTGAAAATGCATAAATCTAAAAGTATAAAATTAGAAAATTTTAGACATTTGTGTAAATAAGTTTCTAAAACAGCCGTTCGTAGACATTATCCGTTTTTTAAAAANCATAAATCTAAAAGTATAAAATTAGAAAATTTTAGACATTTGTGTAAATAAGTTTCTAAAACAGCCGTTCGTAGACATTATCCGTTTTTTAAAAAGTGCTATATTTGAAAATTCAAAACATGGTTGCTATTTTATTTATTTATTTATTATTATTATTTTTTCATATCTCAAGTTGATCCTATTATTTACTCCAGTGTAAATTATTTCTACTAAATTGTAAAAAGCCTCCCGAACGAAAATGGTGGACACTGGAAAAATATATAAATAATAGGCTTTTGATTTTAGAGATTCACAGTAACAGGGTTTCCTATGTAACAATGTTTAAAAATTCATTAAAAATATTTTGTTATTTTATTATTATAACTATAGATTATAGAAATCGCCGTAATATGTTACCTTACTTTAATGAGAGTACTCTTTCCATTAGGAGMTTCGCCTCATAATTAAGTTAGCATTTTATAGTATACAAGGGTGAAAATGTATATGATATCGTTAATAGCACGTTTAAAATTTAAATGTATGCATTTTCAAATATAAATATGAGACATTTACCAAATAGCCGAAGATAAATATGCATTTTGAAATACGGTAAAGGTTTAAATTTTTATAAAAATAATACAATTCAAATCAAACTCAGTAATATAGAATCACTAAAAAAAAAAATCATATTTATGCTATTTAGAAAAATGAAAAAAATTGTGATAGTTTTTTTAACCCATATTAAACATAGGATAATAAGGCTGTTGGAATAATAATAATAATAATAATAATAATAATAATAATAATAATAATAATAATAATAAATTACAAAATTAGCAATTACATTCTAGTTTTGCAAATGTAGCAAATCTTGGTAGTCCAATCCATGCACAACTAGGAAAAAAGTTTAATTTACCTGTCGTCCCGAGGTCTATAGAACATATCTTACTCAACATAGAGTACCATCACGATTATAGCTGACATATATAGTATGGAATATATCAAGATATATCAACTATAACTCATAATAAATCAAGTATATCTTGCTCAGTCTCTTGAGAGTGGTTATTAAAGTTTATTCAAAATTCAGGGACCCAGTTAGAGAAAGAAATTGAAAATGATACAAGAGACCGAAATTTTGGAAAATAATGCAACTAAATTAAACAAAAATGGAAAGGAAAGTACA